CAAAGACGCACGGGCAGTGCTTCGTGCCCTCTTCGGCCCTGAAGAAATCCAGGCCTGGCCCCTCTCTGAACGAGGCCAAGCCGCGCCCCCCCAGCTTGTCTGCGTAGTAGTCGCCCGTGGCGAATGCCAGCGTCTCCAGGTACGGCGTCTTCCCCTCGCCAGGCTCGCCGACCATGAGGCAGGAGTGGCTCTTGAAAGTAGGCACGATGCGCTTCGCGCGCTCGACGCCCTCGCCCCCTGTGTCGAAGATGAAGATGGGGTGGTGCGTGATCTTTTTCGCCTGAATGCCCTGGTCCTTAACGTGCGAGAGAACCTCCTTAATCTTCCCCTCTTTCCAGCTGTGGATGGGGCTCTGCGGGTCGTTCAGCTGGAAGTCGATCCACATCATCTGTTCGCAATCGAAGTTGCCGCGCGGGGCGTTGCCCTCAATGAACTGGCACTGGGATACGATCATGCCCTGGGGAAGGCACTTCTTCTTCTTCTCCTTTTCGCCCTTCTCCTGCGGGGGTAGGTGGCAACGGAAGTGCGTGCCACCGAGCCGATCCATCATGTAGACCAAGACTTTCCACGGCGTCTTGACGCCCGCTCCCTTGCCCCAAGATAGCGCGTACAACACTTCATTCTCACGCAGGAGGCGGTTCTCGACGTCGACCAACGGCTGCGGGCCCGAGAACAGAAAGTACTTGATGACGTCTGTCCCGTCGCCGTCGCCAGCGGGCACCAGTGCCAACTGCATCGTGTAAAGGGCTTCCCAGTTTGTTCTGGGGCGCAATAGCTCTGGCAGACCATTGTAGTCGTTGACCGCCATGGCCTCCCGCACCGCGGCCATGTCGATGTCCCCCTGGTAGTTCAAGACAACGGCAAAGGCATGCTTCATCTTCTTGCAACCTTCAGACGGCATGAGGGGGAGATCCCCTACAGAGTAGAGAGCTGGGGGATCGTCCTGGAATTCCTCTGGGTGCAACGCCGTCTGGTACATCGGGACGGCCGAGCCGTGGCCGCGGACCTTTTCGAATACCTGCTGGACCTTCTCGCCGTCCGCCCCCTCGACCTCCAAGTGCGCCCTCAGGGACTTCATTCCGAGGGCGGGGAGGTTGGTCATGAGCAGAGATATACCAGGGGCTTGTGCGCGTGCGAATGTATTCGGACACCCTGTGCAAGCCTGATCAATAGCGGCGGCAGGACACAGCGGGGGCGGGGGTAACCGCAGGGGGGCGGGGGCTGAATCAACGACGACGACGCGACGACGGCGACGGCTGCTCCTGATCATACCCTTGCGGGCGGACCTTCCATGCGGGCAGACTACGTAGTTTTTCTCGAACCTCCGAACCAATATGCACGTCCGCACACATATCGCTTGGGCACTCTCGCTGCGCTGGCCCAACATTTCGCCGTGCGGGAAGCAGTGCGGGGCCAGGGTAGGTGGCATTTGAGCAGAGGTATGCAGTGCCTCTGCAGCGGCAGATGGGCTCGCTCACTCGTGCTGCTGCTGGAACAGAGCGGTAAGCATATTGCCCGTCTGCGCCCACAGGTGGACAAGGCGTGCTCGACGTCGTCGTCGCGGCCGGACAGGCCCATGATCTTCTTCACCACGGCGCCTCTCTGAGGGCCTGTAAGGACGCCGGCGTCCGCGCAGGCGCAAATGCAACACTTTTCATTTGGCTGTGCGTTTCCTCTGGTTTTTTCGCCCTGTTTGTTGATCGCGCCGAACTTGCAATCCAGATTGATGCACAAGGATGGCATGTTAAAAACAACAGCAACAAAAAAGACAAATACGTTAGCGTATGCTTGGCAACGGCTTGAGCACAATACGTTAACTACATGATGAAAGTGAGCGTGAGGACGCTGATGAAATATAGTGTTCGCCATCATCAAAATCATCATCATTGCAATTGTCATCGTTGCCATCGCCATCATCTTAATCGCAATCGTCATCAGAACCATCCCCATCATCATCATCATCATCGTCGTCGTCCTCAACCCCATCATCGTCATCATCATCATCACCACCATCATCATCATCATCATCATCACCATCATCATCATCATCATCATCATCATCATCATCAGCAGCAGCATCATCATCATCATCATCATCATCATCGCACTCGTCATCATCAACTCCAGGAGGATCCAAGAGGCCTCCAAGAAGCTCAAGAGGCGCCCAAGAGGCGCCCAAGAGGCCCCCAGAGGCCCCCAGACTGCCCCTAAGAGGCTTCAAAACTGCTTTCAACAGATCCCCGAGATGCCTCCCACCATATCCCAACGAACATCCAAGAGGCCTCAGGTGCCTTCTCGAACAATCGCCATCGAACATGCTGAGCCTGATGAGGGGAGGAGCGTGAGGGAGCCAGGAGGAGGAAGAGAAAGATGGTCGTTGGGGTGCGCTGGGGGGGGGCGAGCATATATATACATATATATATATAATTGTCTATACTGATGTGTCTCTCCGTCTCTCTCTTTCTCTCTCTCTCTCTCTCTCTCTCTCTGCTTCTCTCCC